AATGCCTATCCGTCTCCTTACAATATGAATATGCCTATTCCTTTTTTACTCGGAGACTGGAATCAACTTGGAATGGTGGGCTTACGTCTTGTTTATTTCGATCTTATCAAGTCTTGACTCGCTCATATTTATGCTACCATGATCTCTCATGTAACCATATGAAGGGAACAGCGACTAAAAAACCACATACGCGTTTGGGAGCAAAATAATTAGCTCAGAGGGCCAATTCTGGTATTTTTAGATGGCTTCACCTCTTTTTGCTCAAATTTAGCTATTTAACTTCAACAAGCCACTGTCCTGCCAATTTGTCTTGTCATAGTGGTGTAACCCCAAGGTTAGGCGAAGTGTAATCCATCCGTGATCTGGGAGTCTATAGATGCCCACTTATGCTGTTCTGGACTTCATAAGGTTTCTTTTAGAAGGGTTAATCAAGCAGAATACTGTATCTTACTGCAAAGAGCCACTATGCAGCGGGCCAACCCGAAAGCATTTCTTCAAGTTGCGAGAATATTTAGCATTGGTTGTCCCTGGGAGCTTGTATGAGTTTTGAGATGTGGTCCCTTAACCTTGTGATTTTTCTGATCTTATCTCGTGTCGTGCTCATTTCGAGTCTGAGTTCACTGCAGGGGTTTGAAGCCACCTGCTACGGAATTAAATCAGTCGGCTTTGGAATAGAATAGTTTTTGTCTTTGCTCACGAATTGGACTGAAATCATAGGGGAATTGAGCCTACCATTTAGCTCACCTCGTTTACTATCGGCTGAATTTTGAATTTCTTGTTCCATAGCGGGTGGACGGTGGAGTGATTACTCACTGCTTCTTCCGTATTCATCTTACAGATCTTCCCGAAGCACTTCCAACATTTTCTCTTCCCTACCTAACCCTCTCTCAGGCATCTGGCAGATTTTCAGTACGTAACATTGGTAACATACATCGGCATTTACCTGGTAGGAAGAACTAAAGAGATATTCGGACATACCCTAGAGAAGTCTTCTTTTGCTTGAGGTTTTTTCTCCTTCAGCTGCTTCTTATGGTGTCATCATCGCCGAAACCCTTATCATCGGTTCCGACCTTTCAGATTTTTGTGACACATCGTTTTTAGGGTACCAGTTAGTATCGGTCCCTTTCGATGTTGGCAAACGTCATAAGTGTTTTGAACAGGTCTCAGGCGTAGCTTCTTATTAATATCCTTGATTGTACAGTCTTGCAATAAGAACCATTCGTTTCTGATTTGTAGGTACCGTTTATTTATATAGGCTACGGATGTGTCTAGTCTTCTAAATTGATCTTGGACAGCTAGTAACTTTAATGGAGAGAATTTTTTTTCTCTCTGTACGTTAAACTAGGGTTCCAAGGTTTCCGCAGTTTACCATCTTTATTTTTCGATGATTCTCTTCTAAAATGATTTTTTGGTGAATTCGAAGGATCTCTCTAGGACTAGGAAAAAAGTTTCACTTGTCCAAGTACACTCTTTCAACAGTTAGCAGTTTCGACCAAAGTTTACTATACCTATTGAAGCGCCAACGCCATGAATGTAGGCCAGCCATACATGACTAATGCGGGCTACAAAAATGTCAGCCTGCGCTGGGCCCTGCAGAAGTTCACGCTCGTTGCTTTATCTGCTGGATTCACCTAAAATATGCCTCGCAAAAACAGCTTTTTTCAGATCGAGTTTTTGATTAGAAGCGTAAGCAGTAAGTAGGATCAAGGGATGTTCACCCTACGAGTAGCTGAAACTTTGCCTAGGAGAGGGAGCAACTCTGTGGAAAGAATAAAAATTGCTTCCGCACCCCGGCATCCTCTCTTGAGCAAAAATTTCAGTAAAAATAAATATTTGTTACAATTTTTGAATACACTGGTAGCTATACCCCTTCCTTGGTACATAGATCCAAGAGGTTTCCAGTAATTGGGAGACGACAGCGGGATCGATCTCATGAGGACCTATATGCGAGTTACAGCCTGTTCAAATTCGTCGCGCCCCTTAAAGTCTGTAGTGCCCTTCCAGAATTTTCGTGGTTCTCTCTCGACAGAACTCTCCTTCAACCGTTCAGCAATAAAAGTTTTATCTCTCTGCTAGCAAAGGCGAACTTCAGGCGTACTTTTCTCTGTTCTTCCGGCCTCTGATTTTATTTTGTTTGCTCAAGCAGAACCGAGCGATTATTACCGTCTTTTACGATGATCCGGCAAAGTTTCAAGCACTTTCACCTTCTATTGATTAGTCGCTAATATTTGAGACCATAACCGGTGGGGATCCTTTCCATTTATGGTCGATTTCTTTATCGCTCGCTTACAGTATTTATTGGCTGTTACTTCTACTGACCATTACTGTGCCCCGGATATCTAGTGAATGTTTTTTTTACTTATTTTCAGTATGCAGGGGTATTATGGTAACCGTTGCTCCGGCCGGTCTTATCACCAGCTTCATCAGTCGTACTGTAATGCGCGATTCGCAATTTTCTTGCAATGCAAGAACAGGCGAACATATGTTGCTACAGTATCTTTAGAAACAAACTCACTCCCATTGAAAAAATCTACCCACAGCCAATTTTTTATTTTTTGTATTTACCATTATTTATTGCGGCTGGCTATTCAGCATGACAGTTATGCTCACTTGTAGCCGTCTCTACCACTCTTGAGGACTTATGGAGTTTTGCTCATGGGAGAGATAAATTGGAGGTTGAAGTGGAGGCGCCTACTTCTTTTACCCCTTATCCTTCGCTTTGGGGGTCCATCACCCCAACACAGTAGTCTCGAGTAAACCGCCTCACCTCCCTTCTCCGTAATTGAAGGGTTAGGGGCACCTGAGTCCTCTTTCTTAGTGCAGCAAAAGGCTAGAGTGAGCGCAGCTCGGGAGTTGCTCTTTTAAAACAACATCTTTCGATACTGCTGTAAGGATCCTAGTACTGTAGTAAGGAGAACTTGTTACAGATCTCTTCCCTTACTGAGGGCAGCTGGGAGATAAGGAATGCTAGGGCTAGGGGCCGAATAGGCTTTAAGCGATGAATAGGACCGGACGGGGTCCTGTTGACGATCTTTTTTTGCTATAAGTCGGTAGTATTTCAGGGTTCACGTGGATTGGCTCGGCAAGGTATCTCCTTGAAGTTCTAAGGAACTTACTAAGGAAGAGTTTTGGTACTTCTACCAAAGTGTCACTTCTGCATCCGCTTCTGCAGACACTGAAATGTTTCTCCAAAGTGGATGAGAGGCGTGCGAAGTGATAAGAGATTCACAGCCCAGACCTAAGGGGATGAATAAGGGCTGTTCGAGTTTAAGTTCATGCTCGTCTCTGGGGATCCTATTGGAGCCAGTTAATGGGGCTACTGCATCAAAGAGTTCGATACTCTCAAATGATCCCTCAGCATTTTCCCTGCATTTGATTTTTTACGATCCTATCCTTAGTTGATTGTCTATATAGGGCTGTCGGTAAATGACTATTAGCGTTCAATTTTCGACGCGTTTGTTTGCGTGATGCTATCTGGGCGCTTAGGAGCGGCATCCCTTGATGTGGCACTTAGCCTCATTTTGCTGGAGCAACAGTGTTTTTACAGTAATCATTGCAGCTTTGAGGAGTACACCAGAAGAAATACTGTGCAGAATGTAAGATCAACTGCAAAGGAAATTCGGGTCTATTCCGGTTGCAGGGGGGGGGGGGGGCATTCGTTAGGCCAGTTTTCGGCAGAAGCTACAGCAGTAATTCGAGCGCAAGGTTGAGTGTAGGCAGTCTAGGTGGTGGGGGTGAGGCGAGTCACTTGAAATGCGTGAAAAGCTGAAATGGTCTGGTGAGCCGAGAAACTGCATCATTATACCCCCCCCCTAATTGGAATAGACCCACATATTCTCATTGTTTCAAAGTAGACTACTCCAATGTGACCTAATGACATTTTTGGCTATGGAGTTATTTTTTCAAGGGCTTCGTTAGCGTTTTTCCTGGGTACCATGCTTTGCATACTGCACTTTGTTTGTGGTTTTGTTTGCAAGCGTATGGGTAATTGAAGAAGTGGAGCAACAGCTGATATCACAGAATGACTTGAGACTTCTACTATTCACTGGCGATTCAGTAAGCATTTTGGAGTTGAGCCAAATAACAGAACTCAGTAACAGCTGCTGCAGCCTTGGTATTAATTAGCTTTATTCTAAATGTCTGTTGGTTGAGCCCCGGCTTGATTCAAATAAGCCAAAGCTTCGGAAATATTACTCTTGGTGGCTTTTTGAAGAATACGGTTTGTTGACGAAATTCCGCCTGTGAAAGGAGTTTCCGATGGCATTTTTCCTGTGCCCCCTTCTTAGAAACACGCAAAAGCTTCGGTGATTGGCTGTTTCCACGGTAGGATAGCATAATGCAAACACTTAGGGAGTGGGGGCCAGTTTTGCCTTTTTTACTGGATGAAACAAAAGAGAACATTTGTAGGACTATTGGTCGGTTTGGTGTAGCAGCAGGTGTTGTAGCTCACCGCGTACACTAACGGTCCTGGAGTTAAGTTCCGGCGGATTTAGCTCAGGTCAAACGACCAGGAATGGGGGGCCTGACCAGGAAGGTCTTTCAGGGCGTGACAAGCTTTTTGAAAACGGTCTTTTGCATGATATAGGGCAGATGCGGGAACCACAGAACCATGTTCAATTTTTCCTGAACGGCCCTCTGAATACCAGAAAAGGAGGTCCCTAGTTCGATTCCTCGTGGTAACAAATTTTTGCATTTCGAGTTGACGTGCCAAAATTCGCGCAAAATGGAGTTAGAACCAACCAGAACAATCAGAACTCCATTTTGCGCGAATTTTGGAACGTCAACTCGAAATGCAAAAATTTGTCACCAAGAGGAATCGAACTAGGGACCCCCTTTTCTGGTATTCAGAGGGCCGTTCAGGAAAAATTAAACATGGTTCTGTGGTCCCGCATCTGCCCCTATATCATGCAAAAGACCGTTTTCAAAAAGCTTGTCACGCCCTGAAAGACCTTCCTGGTAGTCTTGCCCCACGCTCGAGATAGGTCATTGTTCCAGGAGCATAGGGGGGATAAAAGCACTGAGAGATGTACATCGGTTGGTCCACCACTCATCCCACATTCTGAAGAGAATTTAACGCGCGGCGTATCGCAGGAGATGGATTGATGAGCGCGCGCGCTGCTTTTTAGCCTTTTAGAGTTGCTTGCACATTGTGTTGCTGCTTTTGAGACAGGAGTTTCAATAAAGCCTTGTAGCTATCAACTTGGGAAGATCAACACGTCTTGGAAAGTTTGAATTTTTTGGTTCTATGAAATTGCCAAGATCCCTATAGCGGTGCGTCGGCTGTGTCGCCTTCCTTTCTGCGAGAGCTATTATTAGGAGCTAAGCTGTTTGGGGAGCGCCGGTATCCATAAATGCGAACGCAGTAAGGGCCTCAGAGAGGTGGCTGGGACGGTAGAGTTCGCCGTTGCGCAGGAGCAACTTTTTGGACGCACCAGGAATGCGCCGACGCGTAGGCACTTTATATGGTTGTTGCATGTCTTATTTATTTATTTATTTATTTATTTATTTAACTATTGTACTCGTGATTTTCACAATGAGGATATAGTGGGAAAGCATGCTTACAATAGAATAAAATGACATCAAATAACACAAGCATCTATGGGGGGGGGGCTAGGGGGGGGGAGGGGTGGGTCGAAAGGAAGAGGAAGGGCAGTGCCCCGGCCAAACACTGCAAGCCGCGGAGAGGGATCACGACTCCGGATACCAGCTTAGTAGGTCCGCCAACCTCAACCGAGGACCCAGGATGATACAGAGTGGGTAATATGGGGGCCTAAAAGGTATCAAAAAAGTAATAATGGTTATTATACGAAGTTATTAACCAATTCAACAGCACAACTGACAAAGTGAGTATTACAGTTGAAGGAAAAAAATATAGATTGATGATTAAATAAAGTATAAAATGAGTAAATAACAATCATCACTCAATGAAATTAGGAGATAAAGGAAAGGAGAAAAAAGGCGGAAAAAGATAAAGCCTAGGAGTAGCTGAACGGGAACGAATTGCGGTAAGAAGTGGTACGCTGAAATAAATGGCGATTACTCCTCAAATTCTTAGTCCGAAAAGGGAAGATAAAAATTGCTTATGACAAACCGCATGATTTTTCCCGACAACTGGCGAGTAGAACTAGTGCTGCAGGCGAGGAACCACACTGGGTCTCCAACACCACCTATCTCATTTCTGAAGTGGATTGTTGATGTTTTAGGTGACGAGCAAGCTGTGTCTGAAATGCTTGTGAATGTTTCCATTTGAAAAATTCAATACCAAGCCTATTCCACAGCGGTACAACTCTAACGTTGAAGGCGCCTTCGTAGGCCCGAGAATTTGGTTTATCAGGTCTTATACGGTAAGGGTGTCCTCTAGACAATCCTATGGAAGGAGAAATCTCAAAAATGTCATTCAAAGTCAAATCGATCTCATCTGTTATAAGTTTGTACATCAAGCCGTAATCAATTATTTGTGATAATTACAGACGAAATCTCAGGCCCACTTTTTCCAGTACCATCAGTGATGCTCGAATTCTCAAATGATCCTCACTAGGGTCAAGTGTGGCGGCGTATCAGTACGTCGTAACACAAGCACCATCCCTTCCCCCAGGATATCTCCTTGAATTTCTTTTCTTCCAAATAGGACCATTTCTTACACCCATGGTAGAGGCTCCAAGGGTATCTTGGGGGATAGGGTAATCTTAGCAATTTAGAATTTAAGGTTTGTCTACGCAGGACTGTGTTCCTATATACGCGAAGGGGTCAGACTTGACTTCTCAGGGTTACCGTTGGCTCAGCTCGGCATGCGTTTGGTTTGGTTCGAAGTCCGACTGCTTCCAAAATTCGACACCGATAATATCATCGAGAACGAGATCAAACTGGGACCGGCATGAGCTTTTGGTTTATAGAGTGGGTAGGTGTGAGTGAGTCGACCTTATTCGGAGACAGCTGCACGACTGTTGTTTGTAGAGAAGTCATATGACTCAGCTTTTATATTTTGGTGATGCTCACAGCTCGCAGAGCCAATTCGTCCACAGTGCTCGCTATTCCCATACAGACAAACAAATGTCGATCCTGCGCCTTTGAATATGTTATAAGGGGGTTACTCTAATCAGGCTAGGTCGCGATCTGGTGTCGTCCATTGTTCAGGCCGATTCTCTATGGTAACTCAAATCGGCTTTTTTTCGTGTTCTGTATGGATCCTTGCAAAACGTCTGGTAAGGGTCAAGAGTTAGTAGCAATTGGGAAGTATAAGCTGCATGTTGGTTGACTGAGATGTGGATAGAGAAGGCGAGCGAAAACAGTAGGGATCATTGTAGGCTGAGCATGGAAATAACCTCTGAAAGGTCTAGCCTTAGAGCGGATTTTGCTTCAAGGACGATCTTAGTTATATACGACACCTTGGATCTGTATTATTAAAAGTTGGAAGAGCTCACCGATGATTTTGTT